GCAAGGAACATTTGTGTGCAAATATGTCTTTGAGATCCTGTTTTCAGTTGTTTTAGATATATACCCAGAAGTATATATCTGGATCTTATGGTAACTCTACTTTAATTTTTTGAGAAGTCTCCATACTGTTTCCCATAGTGGCTGTACCATTTTACATTCCCATGAACAGTGCACACGGGTTCTAATTTCTCCACATTCCCACTAGAGTGCTAGTTTTTTTCTTTTTTTAGATAACTGTCATCCTAATGGATGTGAGATGATATCTCATTGTGGTTTGATTTACATTTTCCTAATGATTAGTGATGGGGAGCATCTTTTCATGTATCTGTTAGCCATTTGTATGTCATCTTTGGAGAAATGTCTGTTCAAGTCCTTTGCTCATTTTTTAGTCAGGTTGTTTTTGGGTTTTTTGGTCACTGAGTTGTAGGAGTTCTTTATGGATTCTGAATGTTAACTCCTACTAGTTAAATGATTTGTAAATATTTTCTCTCATTCTGTAGGTGGCTCTTTTACTCTATTGATTGTTTACTTTGCTGTACAGAAACCTCATTTGTCTATTTTTGCTTTTGTTGCCTGTGCTTTTGGTATTATCTATATCGTTGTCAAATTAATGTCCTCAAACTTCAGCTTAGAAAACTCTGGTAGACCAGAAAGAAGAAGTAAAGAAGTCTTTTCCTTAATATTCTTATTTCACTACTGTTTTTAAGTCTTGTATAGAACAGACCATTTTTCCAGTGTTGGGTTACTTTCTTCATACAACCTACAAGTAAAATAAGATTTCATTAGTAGTAATATTAACAGCTAAAGTGTATTTTTTAATTATTTATTTATTTATTTCATATAACTTATTGTCAAATTGGCTTACATACAACACCCAGTGCTCATCCCAGCAAGTGCTCTCCTCAACACCCATTACCCACTTTCTCCTCCCTTCCATCCCCCATCAACCCTCAGTTTGTTCTCTGTATTTAAGAGTCTCCTATGGTTTGCCTCCCTCCCTCTCTGTTTGTAACTATTTTTTTTCTCCTCCCCTCCCCTCATGGTCTTGTGTTAAGTTTCTCAAGATCCATGTATGAATGAAAATATATGATAATCAGTCTTCCTCTGACTGACTTTTTTCACTTAGCACAACATCCTCCAGCTCCATCCATGTTGTTGCAAATGGCAGGATTTCATTCTTTCTCATTGCCAAGTAGTATCCCATTGTATATATAAACCATATCTTCTTTATCCATTCATCAGTCGATGGACATTTAGGCTCTTTCCAAAATTTGGCTATTTGTTGAAAGCTCTGGTATAAATATTAGGGTACATGTACCCCTATGCATCAGCACTCCTGTATCCCTTGGGAAAATTCCTAGCAGTGCTATTGCTGGGTCATAGGGGAGTTTTAGTTTTTTGAGGAACCTCCACACTTTTCCAGAGCAGCTGCACCAGTTTGCATTCCCACCAACGGTGCAGGAGGGTTCCCGTTTCTCCACATCCTCTCTAGCATCTGCAGTTTCCTGATTAGTTCATTTTAGCCAGTCTGACTGGTGTGAGGTGGTATCTCGGTGTGGCTTTGATTTGTATTTCCCTGATGATAAGTGACGTTGAGTATTGTTTCATGTGTCTATTGGACATCTGGATGTCTTCTTTGGAAAAGTGTCCATTCATGTCTTCTCCCAATTTCTTCACTAGATGATTCATTTTTTGAGTGTGGAGTTTGGTGAGTTCTTTATAGATTTTGGTTACTAGCCCTTTACCTGATATGTCATTTGCAAATATCTTTTCCTGTTCTGTCAGGTGCCTTTTGGTTTTATTGATTGTTTCCTTGGCAGTTCAGAAGCTTTTTATCTTGATGAGGTCCCAATAGTTCATTTTTGCTTTTAATTCCCTTGCCTTCAGAGAAGTGTTGAATAAGAAATTGCTGTGGCTGAGGTCAAAGCGGTTGTTGCCTGCTTTCTCCTCTAGGGTTTTCATGGTTTTCTGTCTCACATTTAGGTCTTTCATCTATTTTTGGTTTATTTTTGTGTATGGTGTAAGAATGTGGTCCAGTTTCTTTCTTCTGCATGTTGCTGTCCGGTTCACCCAGCACCATTTGCTAAAGAGACTGTCTTTTTCCATTGGGTACTCTTTCCTGCTTTGTCAAAGATTAGTTGGCCATACATTTGTGGGTCCAATTCTGGGTTCTCTGTTCTATTCAATTGGTCTATGTGTCTGTTTTTGTGCCAAAACTGTATTGTTTTTAATAGCTAAAGTATATTTATGTACTGGGTGCCAGGCACTGTTGTAGTAAGTATTTTGCATATAGTAACTCACTTAATTCTCACAACTGTTTATAAAATAGCTATTACTATTATATCCGTTTTGTAGATAAAGAGAGGCACAGAGAAGTTAAAGAATGTGTCTCATCTTACCCATATAAAGATTTTAGCTCTTCTTCTGCCAGTCTAATCTGATGCCTACTTTGCGTAATGATGAGAGTAAGTCTTGGTAATAATTCCTAAAACTAAGATATTAAGCTTACATCATATGAGTTGGCTGGCTGGCTCAGTCGGTAGAACATGAGACTCTTGGTCTTGAGGTCATAAGTTCAAGTCCCACACTGCAAGTAGAGATTACTTAAAAAAACAAAAACAAAAACATATTATCCAACTTCCCATCATTGTAACAGAATTTATACACATCATAGAATTCTGTATGTTCATGTTTACCAAAACTGAGTGAATGATCTCTGCAGCTGCTATTGAGTTCTTGCTATCATTCTTCTATTAATCAGCCTTAGAACTTTTCCTTTGGCCTCTTGTTTTCATTTCTTAGGTCCAAATATTCCTCTTTTGATAAATCTTTTGGATTTAATTCTTCCTTTTACATTGTGGTTACTCTGCCTAATTTTTCATCTTTTCAAACTAAGCTGTTAGATGATTACATGTCTCTTATTTGTCTATTCCCCCTCCAATCCAACTACATACTCTAGATTAATTTTCCTAAAATAGACCTTTGATTATGTCACTCATAAATCCATTTTGGGGATTTAATTAGCCTCATCATTCCCATTTAGTTTTCTCTATTATCTGCTACTGCCTTTGAAGTTATTCCTTTATGATTTTCCACTTTCTTTACTGAATCCTAATCATTCATCCTGTTAGTTCCTTCTTCCATAAGTAATTAAAACGATTATTTTTATAAAATTGTACATGTACAAGGTTTAAAAGAAAACCAAACTGTACAAAATTTCTTTCCAAATTTTTTATTTCTACCAATTTTTGTAAATTACAGTATTTTCATATTGTTAAGACTTTAAAAATATTTTTATTGTGTTCAGTATCCACATTTGTTTTGGTTGATTTGAAAAAATGCTGACTAACAAGCAACACATCATTATTGCAGTTACGTAGCATTATATTGTTACATAGAACCAAGTAAATGGGTAAATCTTGTGAAACCCAGTTTAGGTCTTGGTTTTGGAGGATGCAGTTTTCACCAACTCCCCTAAAACTTGGGGAAACCTAGCAGTTTTACCTTTCTGTGAAGTTCCATATTCTGTGTGGTATTATCTACACCACATTGAGAACTTATAAGTGCCTGTTGTTTCAGTTGTATTTTCATGTTAAATTCCCTAAAGATAGTGGTTTATGTTTTCTTGGTATTTCCTAGAGTGGGTGACATAACAAAAACTTTGAACATAGTAGACATTTAAAAAGATAAGTTTATGCGGGCACCTGGGTGGCTCACTTGGTTAAGGGCCTGACTTTAGCTCAGGTCATGATCTCGTGATTCATGAGTTTGAGCCCTACATGGGGTTCTGTGCTGACAGCTCAGAGCCTGGAGCCTGATTTAGATTCTGTGTCCCACCATTATCTCTCTGCCTCTCCCCTGCTCGCATTCTGCCTCTCTCAAAAATATATAAGCATTAAAAAAAAAAAGATAAGTTTATGTAAAAACCATAATACTGATACAAAAATAACTGAGTATGAAGGATGAGATTTGGTCCTGTGCTTCTTCACCTGTAATTATTTGTATAAATAAAACATTATTAACTGTCTACTTGCTATATTCAAGGTACTGTAGGTACTGTAGGAGATAGAAGACCAAGTAGATACAAAACCACAGAACCGTCCTTGGAAATATAGAGGAGGCAGAACTTTGCATCTACTCTCCTAGGGTTTTCACCTGGGCCTGAGAATTAAATTGACATAAGACAAATTAACAGGAGAAACGCATACAAATTTTTATGTATACCTGGCCCCTCACTGGGAAATGAAAATACAAACAAATAGCAAAAAAAAACCTAAGTGCTTATATACTAGGTTGAACAAAAAACGGCAGTTGTAACTAAAATATTTAGAGAGTCTAAAGGAAGATAATTGTTATTTAACAAGGTCCGCTTGTACAAATTTCTCTCAGCCTGACTCCTACCTCTGGTGGTAAGAATGTTTCTTTCCCTCTTGAATAGAGAGGGCAACTCTCACAAGGGAGGAAGTTTCATTTACTGCTTTTAGGAAGAAAAGAGAAGGCCAGGAGTACCTCAGTGGCTCAGTCAGTTAAGTGTCCAACTCTTGATTTCAGTTCAGGTCATGATCTTATGGTTCGCGAGTTCCAACCCCAGAGTTGGGCTCCACGCTGACAGTGTAGAGCCTGCTTGGGATCCTCTCTCTCTCTCTCTCCCCATCTCTCTCTCTCTCTCCCCATCTCTCTCTCTCTCTCCCCCTCTCTCTCTCTCTCTCTCCCCCTCTCTCTCTCCCCCTCTCTCTCTCCCTCCCCCTCCCCCAGCTCATTCTCTCTCTCTTTCTCAAAATAAATAAACTGTAAAAATATATATTTAAAAAAAAAAAAAGAGGAGGTCAGAGTGCCTTTCTTTCCTGCTGTTTTTTCAAGTAGTATTTAGCTCCAAATAGTCCTTATGCCAAGTGGCATATTTTGGAGGGGCATATTCTGCCACACTTTAAAACTTAGAGTCTAGGACAGAAGGCGAGGCCTATACATATAGCTAATAGTCGAATCAAAAGAGATCTATAGTGCTCGCTTGAGCAGTACATACAATAAAATTGGAGCAATACAGAAAAGATTAGCATGGCTTCTGCACAAGGGTGACCTGCAAATTCGTGAAGCGTTCTGCATTTTAAAAGAAAAAAAAAGATCTGTAATATATTAAGGACAGCATCTGAGGTGGAAGAGGTGACATTTGATTTGCCTGGGCCTTAAAGAGAAGTAACATTGAGTATGTGGAAGTTAGTAAAAACAAGTAGGTGAAAAATAATGGGGCACAGCAAGTAGTACATTTTATCTAGAAGGTAGTTGGTAATAAGCATAGTAATTGAATATCAGGGTCAGACGTGGAGTATGGAGACTATGCCAGCTAATTTTATCCAGAGTGGTAAAAATTAAGGCCATAGTTCTCTCCTTTAGCAGGTTTTACAGTAAGCACAGGTTTTGGCCTTTTTCTTGGGGTTCAACCTGACTTTGTTCATTTGTCCTTTTCTAGTTTGGAGGCAAACTGGTTACCTTTGAGAATGTCAAAACGCCGTCCCAGCAGGGAGCTGAGCAGCAGCAGCAGCACGTGTTCATTAGTCAGGTTGTAACAGAAAAGGAATTCCTCAGCCGATCGGACCAACTTCAGCAAGTTGTGCAGTCACAAGGATTTGTCAATTATTGTCAGAAAAAAATTGATGCTTCTCAGACGGAGTTTGAAAAAAACGTATGGTCCTTTTTGAAGGTAAAGTTGGTATTAAAACCATTTCATTATCTGCAGATTTAACTCTTCCCATTATATTCTAAATCTGTCTTAATAAAGAAATTATTGCAAGATTGTGATTTCAGGAGCTTCATGATGAAATTAAAGACACGTGAAGAGTACACGACCATATTTTTACGTCAGGTTCTCTGCTTTGAAAAACCTAATAAGAAGTACTTTTTTTATAAGTAAAAAGCAATATAACAGTTGCATTTAAGTGAGAGAGACATTATATTCAGCAGATCTGTTTTAAAATTATAACATAGAGCTTAGTATAATAGAAATCCAGAATATTTAATTTCTGTAGTAGATCCAGTTAAGGAAAATGGGAAAAGAGGGAAAGGTTACAGGGGAGAGAAGTTAAAGGCATTTCTCATTCCTTTTTACTGCATTGCATTTAAGACAGTAGAAAATAGAGATTTCTGGCTGGTCATTTTGCCTCCAGTGGAATGTCTGTTTCTTGAATTTTCCAAAGAGATCTTGAATATAACAAGGTTAACTTCTAAAATTATAGAATTTCATATCTTGTAATTATGAATTTGGGGAAGGAGTTTTAAGACATTGAGTGTTCCACATAGCGTTGGGTTCTGCATGCATGTAACCATTGGGTGTGACTTAGTTTGTGTTTACAAAAATTGTAGTTTAATGTGAACTTTGGCATGCCTGGCTGGTTCTGTTGGTAGAGCATTTGATTCTTGATCTTGGGGATCATGAGTTCAAGCCCCACAATAGGCATAGGGCTCACTTAAAAAATAAAAGTAAGCTCTATTTAACAAGGATAATTAATTACTAGTATACTTAATATTTAAAAAGTAACCTGTTTAAATAAAACGATTTTGGAGATTCTTTCAGTGAGTCTTCTATACAATAGATATAGAAAGCTTTCTTTGATACACTAGACTTTAGTAGACCTTATTTTTGATCATTTTTCATAATTCTACTTGGAATTTGATCAGTTAATTAAAACTTTAAATGTAGGTATTTATTTCAAGAGTGTCTTTTTTTAAAGGTAAATTTTGAGGATGATTCTCGGGGGAAATACCTTGAACTTCTAGGATACAGAAAAGAAGACCTAGGAAAGAAGGTAAATTTCTGGGAAAGGTTAAAAGGCTGTGCTTATACAAGTAAATATTTATGTAGCATAGGTGTTCTTTTTTATAAACTTCCACACAGATAATCTCAGATATTTAGTAAATATTTAATAAGAATATGTGTTGAGTTGCTAAAGTTCTAAATACATATTATTAAATGTGTAACTCCACCTTGTACCTGGATTTAGAAGCCGCAAGAACCACCTTTAATTGAAACTTGATTTAATGAGCTGTGTCGTATCAGGTAGAATTGGGCCTTGAAAGAAAGAGAATAGGTTCTGAACTGCAAACACTGGAAATAACACTTAGATTTTAAGAGGGTGTGTGTAACCAATGACCCTGGGGAAAAAGAAAAAGGGGAAACTGTTAGAGATTACCCCATGTTCACTACAGCTTAAGTAATGAAGAATAGAATACTATTTGAAGTTACCACAATTTTCTGCCCTCGTTCTTTATGCCTTTAGCCCACATTCCCAAGCTCTGTTACTGAGTTGGTCCAGCTGACAAACAGTAAATATTTTGGGACAAGGGCAGTTTATTGTACTGACCCTGAATAAACAAAAGTCTGACTGATTTGCTTAATTATTTTGATTTTAAAAAAAAGATTCCCTTTTAAAAAGAGAAAGTCCTGGGGTGCTCAGGTGGTTTAATCAGTTAAACGTCTGACTTCAGCTCAGGTCATGATCTCGCGGGTTCATGAGTTTGAGTCCTGCATAGGGCTCTGTACTGACAGTGAAGAGCTGCTTTGGATCCTTTCTCTCCTTCTCTTTCTGCCTCTCTCTCTCTCTCTCTTTCTCTCTCTCTCAAAAGTAAAACATTAAAAAAATAAATAAAAATAAAAAGAAAGTCCTTTTCCAGTTTTTCATTCTTCTCAAAGAGGGGCTTAATTATTCATCCCACAGTATTGACATGAGCAGCATGAAAAACACTCTGACTTTGAAAACCTTGAAGGAAATATTTTAGATTCTTTGTGTAATTTGTATTAGCCCTTGTTCTTTCAGAGTGTCTAAAGTTTTCTGTAGAGTTGTTGCATATGTGGTACAGCTTACAGACTATGTACTGTGAGCAGTGCTGAGCACAATGAAGATTTGTGACCCTTCGATGTCACATCATAGCTCTACCACTTATTGGCTGTGTGTCTTTGCTCATTCCTTTAGATTTTTTTTATATTTAATTTTATTATTAGTCTAAAGCTCTCAGTGCTGTAACTTTTAGGTTTATAAGAGATTAATATGAAAGTTTTACTGAATACCCAATAGCAAAAATGAGGAAGTAGAATCTGTTCATGAAGATACTTGTAATAACAGTTCTTTCCCTAGTCCCTAGTGAGTACCTGAAGACATTTTTAAAAATTAATTATAGTTATTTAAAACAAACCAAAAGAAAGCATTCTTGTTTTGAGGTTAGGTTCGTGATTGAATAGCAGATTTTATTCTTTTAAACACACTTGATCTGAACTTTTGTGGATTTTGCCGGTGAAAATAGAGAAAGAGGTGAGCATTTGCTATATGCGTTGAAATAGAATTCCGTGTAGTAGGTGAGTTGTTGTTTTTATTTCAGATTGCTTTGGCCTTGAACAAAGTGGATGGACCCGATGTGGTAAGAAGGCCTTTAAAAATAGCTACCTTCCAGAAATTTGGTTTAGGTCATAACACAGAAGGAAGTGTAATTTAAAAAATATGTCTGTTTTACTGCTTTACAGTGTAAAAATAAATGCTAATTGTAGATATTTAAATAAGTGAAAAACTATCATCATTTTAAAATAGTAGAAGTTTAGCTGATAGAGCATTCTTTTCTCTTAACAATATTTGAATTTTGCAAAAGAGGAAAAACAGTATCAGTGACTGCTCAGATACTTAAGGTTAAGATCTTTGTTCCCAAGGGACTTTTGATGGGGGCTGGGGGAGAGAGAGAAAGGAAAGTCTCGGCAATCATGGCTCTTTGCTTTTCCTCTATTAGTGTTTCTTAAATAAATTTACTTAGTGTTGCTTCTTATGATTAAACTAGCTCTAAATTTGGTTGGTTGGGTCTTTTGTTTTCCTCATTTACTAATATTCTTTTTTTGCTGCATTCTTCAACTTCCTCTGTAATTGTTTTGTGTACCAAAGGCTCTTAAAGACTCTGACCCAGTAGCACAGAGTGATGGGGAGGAGAGCCCTGCTGCTGAAGAGCAGCTCTTGGGAGAGGTACTTATTTTTTTCATTTTTAATTACATTGGGAAAGTATGTGGTATTTGTTTATCTCACACTGAAATATGGAAAATCTGCTTGACTGCTTGTTCCAGAATGAAATTGGAATATATTATTTTCTTAGAGATTTTGGGGGTAGGAGTCTATTTACTAGTGTAACAGAACTATCGTCAATGAAGTCTTTAGTCCTCTGACCTAGCTTCTGGATTATATGTCTTAAAATTAACAGTTGACATGAGATTGACTTAATTTGGTCAATGGGTATCAGCATGTCAAAATGAAGAGATGTTGCTTAGAAATCCACAATGCATTGCATGTAAAGTTAAATGCTTTTACTTGACACATTAATATTTAGGACCTGTGATCAGTGAGTGACAAAGGCTTCTAGATTAGTCTTGAACTTTGAATTAAGGTGTAGAAATGTCCACTAATTTGAACTGTCATGATTTATTGATTGACATGATAAACGTGTCCTGCATTATAGTTGACAGTTTTTATAACCAGTTAAAAAGAGTCCTTGAACACAGAGTTGTATCGTTAATTTTTTCCTTTTGTTTTTCTGGGTTTTTTTTTAACCACTACTAAATAATTCTGTACTTTTCTTGCTTCCTAATTATATTTCACCTTGGACAATTAATCAACAAGTTCTTGTTTCTCACCTCATCTTTGACTTTGTCATTGTTCTTTCTGGTATGGAGATACCCTGACTATGGGATGTCTCTTACAATCCTTTGCTAAGTTATAAAAGTAGTTCATCAGTAAATTTAGACTTTTACAAAGTAATTATTAAAAAACAACTTTCCTTAGAAGTGGATCTTCTGACATTTATTTATTCTGAAAATAGAGAATATGTGTAAAATCTTAGTGAAACTTTGAATCACTCTTGGGAATACCTATACAGAACTGTAGGATACATTGAAGAAATGTACTTTCATTTATATACAACTAGATTAACTATGTATTATCAAATATAGGGCCGTTTGGAAATACACTTTTGAATTAATAGATCAGAATAATATGCACTTAACAAAATGAGAGACACCAAATGGTATTCCAAAAAATTCTGTTTAAGGAGATAGGATTATCTCCTTTACTGTGATAAAGCTATTTT